GCCACGCGCATGTACTAGCTGTTGTGGGAGTCCTGGCAGTAGTTATCCATCTGCGCGTACACTCCGTCGTCCTCTTCGTCATCCATCTTGGCGCGAGGCGTGCAAGCCGCAGAGATCCTGAGAGCACACCAGCTGAGGCACCAGAGGATGAAGAGGAGGATGAGGCGAAGCAGCAGGAGGTGGAGGGCGATGACGACGACAACAAGACAATATCAAAAGACAATCACAACAACAACAACAACAACAACAACAACAACAACAACAACAGCAACAGCAACAATAACAACGACAACAACACCAACAACAAAAACAACAACAACAACAACAACAACAACAACAACAACAACAACAACACCAACAACACCAACAACAACAACAACAACAACAACTGTACCAACAACAAACATGTTAAAACGCTTCGCTCTTATCTGTTCGAGTGACACCCAAAAACCCTCGATACCCGCGCTCGTCGTCTTCGATTGTGCCCCTGTTGGGGGATCGATCTTTCTTCCCTGCAGGTCGGGCCCCGGCAAGCGGCGGGGCGGCCGCGGACCGTCGGCCTGGCCAGCGGAAGCGCTTATCGGCGGCAGCCCGACCCCAAGAGGGACGGACAGGGGACCGACCACGACGACGACGACGACGACGACGACGACGACGAGTAAAAGCGAGAGCGAGAGCGAGAGCGACAGCGGGGCCGCGAAGGGCAATCAAAGGGCCACGAAGGGCGACACCTGGGCCACGAATGGCATGCGTGTGGGGCCACGACGGGCGCGAACGAGCGGGGGCCACGAAGGGTAGATAATGCGGGACCACAGAGGGCAAAGACGGGGCCACTGAAGGTAGCAACGGGGCCACGCAGGACAGCGAGGGGGCCACAAAGGGCGACAGCGGGGCCACGAAGGGCATGCATATGGGGCCACGACGGGCGCAAACGAGCAGAGGCCACGAAAGGCATAGGTATAGTGGGCTACAGAAGGCAAGGACGGAACCACTGAGGGCAGCAACGGGGGCCACGAAAGGCAGCGAGGGGGCCACGACGGGCGACAGCGGGGGCCACGAAGCGCATGCATATGGGGCCACGACGACCGTGAACGAGCGGGGGCCACGAAGGGAATCCATATGTGGGGCCACGACGAGGACCCCGAGGTGGCCGCGAAGGGCTGTACTGCAACGGGGCCACGAAGGGCAGCAAGGGGTCCACGAAGGGCTGCAACGGGGCCACGAAGGGCAGCGAAGCGGCCACGAAGGGCTGCAACGGGGCCACGAAGGGCAGCGAGGGGGCCACGAAGGGCTGCAATGGGGCCACGAAAAGCAACGAGGGGGCCACGAAAGGCTGCAACGGGTGCACGAAGGCAGCGACGGGGCCACGAAGGGCTGCAATGGGGCCACGAAAAACAGCGAGGGGCCCACGAAGGGCTGCAACGGGTCCACGAACGGCAACAACGGGGCCACGAAGGGCTGCAACAGGGCCACGAAGGGCAGCGATACCCCGATTCCTAAGTAAGCCATGGGGCAATCCAAAGCGTGAGCGCGCCTCCTGGGTGCCTGAGTGTCGGGAGTGCGGCGCTTAAGAAAATTGCGCGGAACTCCAACGCAAGAGCGCGATTTCTAAATGAATTGCCAGAACAACAAAAGCGCAAGTCCAGAACGCCGAGAGAACGATTCCTGCGTAAGTTATAAGGAAATCCAAGGCGAGAGCGCGATTCCAGAGTAAAATGCATGGAGGCCTCAGTCGGGAGCGGGGGCCCTGGCTAATGCGTGAGGAAGTCTCAGGCGGGAGCCGTTGTTGCTGCAATCCAGGGGCCAGGGGCCAAGTTTGAGCCCCGTGACTTTCCTGGTAAAAAACCGGGTGCGAGCCCCGGGGGGGGTGCTTCAACTGAACATGCACAATGGTCACCGGAGGGGGGCAACAGTGCATATTCTTTAATCTTGGGAATTAAACAACAACAACAACAACAACAACAACACTAACAACAACAACAACAACAACAACAACAACAACAACAACAACAACAATTACTAGCACGTGGGGACACTCCGTTCTCACCAGTGCCAGGGTTTTCATAGGAGGCGGGCAATACCCCCACTTTGTGGGGGGGCCGGTTCAAGCTCTACCAAATTTCCAAACGACTCTTCGCCACCACCCACACCCAGCTTCCCGCCCTATGACGTTCGGACACTTCACTTCGTGGCATGCGGACGACCGTGGCTACTATTCAGGGCCCCGCGGCCGACGACGACGGCGTGCGCGCGCGAAGAAAAAACGAATGTGTCCCGCATGGTATTATTTGACAGGGATGATGGCCCTGGCAGGTGCGCAACCGTTGTTGCAGAAGTTCGAAAAAGTTGCTCGCAAAAGCCCGTTTGACAGAAATGTTTAAAAAGTGTTGGGTTTCCTACGAATCCGCAAGAGCGCGCGGGATGAAATTTTGACATTTTTTTTTGAAAAACCATTGGTTTTTTGATGTTTTTATGTTAAAATCGCTACGAAAACTAAGGTTTTGGAAGGATTTCGTCTTGCGCGCGCGAATGTCCACTTTACCTTATTTTTTGCAAGGGATTCTTGAAGTTTGGTTATGTT